AGTATGTTGGGAATTTTAGACATATTAAGAGCATTGAAACCATGAAAGTTACAAACCCTGTGATTTATAACATTAGGAACGGTAACATCAACAGGAGAGTGTATGAAAGACTTATTAAGTGTATTTACATCAAAGGAGAGAGAAATAGAACTTTGATTAAAACCATCAGTAATATTGTGGTGAGAGCTGGCTGTTGGCCAAAATTGGTGGACAGTAATTTACGTTAATGTTTATGTCCTCAATATTGGTCGTTAGAAAAATGAGAACAAAGGCTTTGCGTAAGCGGATGCAGTTAACATATAGATGATCTGACATTCAAGAAACAGCTACAAAGAGATACAAAGTTAACTTTCTGTGAGAAACAATCAATCAGAAGACTGTGTTTTTCTGCTAACAATAATCTATAATATGTGCATGAAAATCTACAAATATGTGTTGATTTCCTTAATAAACGATCTGTTGACTGGCCCTTGTCTTCTGTTGTTACAATATAACTCAAAAGATTCCAAATAATTGAGAGTGACCCACATGAAAAAAGAATGTATACATTTGGGATTTAGACCAACGAATCCCTATTTATTAACAGTGCTAATACATTTGCGAACATATAGATCTCTAGGCTTTATGAGATGAGGAGAAAAGCAAAAGACAAAGTAGTTTACAGATTACGAATGCAAATCGATAATTCTGCTGTATCACTCACTACCAAACATGACACAGATAAATACCTACAAGCAACACAAAATAATGCATGCATGTAACTAACAAACTCATTGAAATGCTATAGGTCCCCATATAAAAATAAAACAAAATACAGGGCTAATTGCTCGGCAGAGAGGAAAGCGAGGACAGGTGGGAAACACATTCGTAGCCGTCAAATTCAAAGACAAACAAGAAAAAACACATACACACAAATACACAATCACTTTCACTACTCCAAGCATATTTCCTCGCGTTGATGGTATAGTGGTCAGGACGCCCACCGACCACGCACACGGTCCGGATTTCGATCCCCGGCCACCGACGCACTCGTTTACCCCGCTGAGACAGAAATGATGCTGGTAAAGAGGAAAGATTAGGCATGAGGCCAGCAACCCCATCTTGTAAAATAAACACTGCTACAGAAAATTCAAACCACTAGTTTGAAGCCCTGGAGAACGTGAAGGAAAAGCATATTTCCTCAGAAACGTGAAAATCACCTCTGAAAACAATTCACATCATCTGGCCGAAACGAAATGCATTTTTAAGCATGAGCACAACAACTATATGTATGTACGTGCGTTCGCATGTGTCATCCGTCTAGATATAGGGTGATTGGTTACTTGCAGAGGTGACTATAATATACTGCACGTTAAGGATGGCTGACTATTATCATGCATTACCCATAAATGACTTGATTGATTGAGTGACTGGCTGACTGGTAGAAGGAAGGCTGCCTAGCCAGGCAGAGTCGATGGAGGTGATGAAGAGGACCGAAGGTGTAGGAAGGCAGATTGGGTGTTTACACGACTGACTGACTGTCCGACAAATTGTTCGAATGAGTAGTGGTCTATTGTGTTGTATACCAGAGTGGTGGATGATGAAATAAACAGACAGCTAGCTGGATAATTGTCTGAGGGATAGATTGACACACGGACGGATGCATAGATGGTCATAGTGTCCAAATGACTGTTGAAGTGCGTCAATGTATTGAGGGAGTTACGTGTGTGTGAAGATTTGAAAGTGGATGGATTGGTGATTTGGAAAAAGGTTGGAGTTAGCGTGTGATAATGTGACTGATTGGAATGGGAGGGTGTGTGATGTGTGATATGGTGGTAAGTTCGTCGTGCTTCTATAGCTTAGTGGTCAGAGCACTGGTCATGTAAACCAGGGGTCGGGAGTTCGATCCTCCTTGGGGGTGGACGATCTTGAGAAATCACAACACATTACGCAATTCGCTGACTAAAATTTACAATTCTAATGACAAATCTTTGAAGTATCCATTTTGTTGCTGAGAGAATTAACTATATGTTTGCGATTGTACAGCTTGAGAATGATATCGCGGTAAAGAGTAACTCTTCGCTGAACGTCTTTTCTTTTATAAAACCATAACACAATGCACTACTATTACAACTGCGCACACACACCAACATATCAACAGGAAATAAACACTCAACACTTACTCATCCTCACAAAATCACACACAACCAATATATCCACCCATCCATCTACACTTACCTCGATATAACCACTGTGTCGAAATTCTTAAATAACACCCTTGGTGGTGTGGTGAGAGGTGGCCGTGAGAAAATATGAGCAAGGCTGATTCAACAACCAATCACAGCAGACTTAACGTGGCCAAATATGATTCGCAGATAGAGAACTCTATTTTTCGAGGAATCCCGAAGCAACCAATCAGAAGCCTGCGTTTTTCTGCTTAACTTCTGATAAACAACCAATCAGAAGACTGCGCTTGTCTACTTGCATAAGCTATAATAATGTATGTGAAATATGTATAAATACGTGTTGATTTTCGTAATAAAACGATTTGTTGCCTGGCCTTTGTCTTCTGTTGTTACAGTGGTAGACACACTTTCAGAGATAGATGCACTCTCGTAGACACATATGCATATAAATCACACCCACACAGTAGACACGCTCTACCATCGTCTATCTCTCTCTTCGTCTAACCACCGATCAACATATCTAAGTGCAATTTTTTACCTTTACTGTGTGTCAGTGTCTCGTCAGTCGAATACAAATTGAAGTACTGCTTTTTACCTGTCATTACTCTTCATCACATATGGGTGGGCTTGTTCACACAAGAGAAGAACATAGTCTTCGTCCACACGACATTTCTTCCGACACTCGTGCTATACTGTACTGTATCACTCATTTCGTATCAGTGGATTTATATTTATGAATTGGAGTGTTTCTGTTTGAGGGAGTATGTGCTGACGTTCGGATTCGTATTTGTCTACAGGCACTCGCCAATTTCTGCCCGTCTTTCTTTCTGTCCATCTATATCTATCTCTCTTGTGTATGTCTCATCATGAGTTTCTCGGCTAGTTTATATGTAGAGTACGTTGAGAAATATTTGACTGTAATTGACGCCTGAGATTATAGGAGAAATTCCCGGTTCATCTCGAATGCACTCGAGTCTATGTGAACATGTACGCGGAGTGAGGAAGTGTGCGTGTGCACATACATACCTACATCATCCGTCATCTGCCCTTCCACAGCCTCCAAACACACATACATACACACACACGAATAACCGACACAATAACACACCATGACAACATATTAACTTCAACATTCACAGAACAAATATCACTCATCGCTTCAAAGAACCTACAAAATATTCACCAACCTAAAATTAGCTACATCATCAAGTAACACTTCTAGTCTACTCACTCTTATCTCATTCAAAATCCGTCCGTTACTCGTCTACAAACATCTCTCCCACTATCCGACATCCTCACTCTCTGTTGTCTTCAAAATCAATTGAATGTAGACGACGCTGATTTGTTTCTATTTCTTCGATTTCTCTCCAACATCACGTAGTGACCCTTCGAATTTGTGAGCATATATTTATATATGCATGACAGGAAAAATTTGTACTCGACGCTTATTTAGTAACCTGAGTTTTGGAATCAACTGATATCTCACCTTTGATAATAACTTTTACTGTGCTACTGATATATATATATATATTTCCATAAATTTCTAGGTTGTTCCTTGAATGGTACTGTTGCGAATCATCTAAATCATAGACTGTTATCACGTTTTTAAATACTACCTTTTAATTCCATTATTGTAGAGCTCCGCCACATATCGAGGGAGTGTGCCTTAGATGGCCACCAGTAGGCACTGATATTTTAAATTTGAAGAAACAACTATGAAGTATGTCGAGTAATTTTACTATCCGAAGAAAACTACACATTTCATTTATTGCAAATACTGTCATAACTTTGTGATAATTATTTACATTTTAGAATTGATCCCAGTATTTGTTTGCATGGAGGATTTAATCATGAGCTGACATCAGTTAGAGAACCACTGGAAAACCTGGGAGTACTGGAAAGCTGTTTCGTCCTAGTTTGGGACTCCTCAGCAGTACGCACCCACCGGGATTCGAACTCAGGACCTTCTGGTTACAAGGCTTAAATAGTTAGATTCACTATTTCAATTAGGAACACTGTCATAGAAGAATTGCTTTATTGCATTCATGTGAAAGCTTCGTTACTGTGAAATTGGTTTGGACATCCACTGCACTCGGAATAAAGAAGAAGATGTGGATCTTCAACATCACCGTAAAAACAGTGCTTTTTATGGTTCACAGACTTGGTGTGCGTGTCATCAAGTGCAGTTCCAACAGGTTGCTGCAGACTTTCATCAACACCTGCCTTCTCTGAATACTGGAGATCAGATGGCCGACGAGAAATAACACACAACAAGAAGCTTTGGTAGCGGATCAGCCAACAACTGAATGCTATAAAATATATGCATAAGAGAACTGAGGTGGATTGACAGTCCTCTGAGGAGACCGTTGATTGGCGTCAAGCACTGCTTATGCTCTCAATTGGAACCTGAACGAGAAACGAAGAAGTGTGTATGGTCCGAGAGCGATATCAGCGAAATCATGGGGGAGAAGCTGAGAAACTATGAGTGATCATGCAGCCAGATAAAATAAACTACAGAAGACTGGATAAACTGGAGATATACTGCTGAAGGCCTTTGTTCCACTTGGAACCTAAGAGAATAGTGATGATAAAATACAGAAATGGTATCTGAATTTTCCACTGCTGTTAGTCACTCCTGAAGTCTGTTTATTCAGTCGACAACTGAAAGCACTTGGCGTGCTAAGGAAATCACGGAATCATCGGGACCATGTTATAAAGATGTGATAAGTGTACCAGCGGTTGACTCCTCTTCATGTTGAGTTTTGTGTCAGGTTTAGCAAAGTCTAAATATTTTGATTTGACACTAGTCTAAATATATCAGAGTTTGAAGACAATTCATGTCCTGTGAGATTTAGATGATTGTACAGTATTTGATAAGTCAGCTTCTTGAACAAGCAAGCAACCATGTACTAATTCTCTCTGGAGGATGTGCCGTAATGAAAACAAGTAAGCAATTTGTGTTATGTATCAAATGTATTAACTTTGTTAATCACAGCACACATGATTCATTTAAAGTAATTATTGAAATGTAATTGAAGTTCCCTTGATTGTTTCATTCCGTCCGGTTCATGTCTGAAAAAGTAGTGTATATATCAAAAGTAAACAGATGGAATTCTACCATACATTACTGTTATTTTAAGAAAAAGCATTTCAAAAACATCCAACTGGACCCATTGAAATGAAATCAGAAGTGTCTCTATATTCTGAGAAATTTATTCTCTAATGATTAGAAATTATTATTTAGTATCTGTAAATTTGTGAAGCTATAATTTCAGTCTTGAAGTTTCTGAAGCCTAATGACTGTACACTTTGAACTGTTGATGATTTAAGCACTGTGCAGGTATACCTTGCTAATACTTGCGAATGTCATCATATTTGTGGTGGTAATGCACATCGTGTAAACAGGTACATTTTCCTGCAGAACCTACGAAATTCAGTGCTCTTTCAGGGCAACCAGTTCTGGAGAAGATGTCGAACTATAGTAGAACCTTAACTCCCTAAAAGTTCCGCCATCATTTAAATTTTATTGACAACAGTTTGCTATGTGTCAGTTGCTTTCCTACCTGTAATATCTATGCCTTGCTTCTGCTCTAAATTAGGTAGAGTAATAGTTAAGAAGGGTAAATCAATCTATGAATTTCTGAAGCTACATGAAGTGAGACGGCTAGGGTACGCATTACGTATGCCGAGCCCTCACCTTCTTCATCCAGCAGTGTTAGCTAGCTGACATAGAGCTAGGTCAGGAAAGAGTAAGGTGTGGTCAAATTGAAACCTGCAATCAGTCCATCAATTTTTGACAGTTAGTTTGAGATACATAGGGAGGTTTAGACTATCTAGTGGAGTTTTCGGAATGCTACGGATCGATGGCCGGAGACTATTGGTGAGATGGCTTAAAGTCGTTTACAATGGTGTAGATGCATTCACTCTTTGCGACCTCCTAGATTCATCAAACTCTGGTGTTTTTGCTTGTTACTATTCTTTCTCACGTATATTTCTGCTCCTTATAGCTCCGTGGAAACTCTTTTTTCTTACATTACTCTGCTTTTGTGTGCTTCATGGAAAGTGAATACTTAAACTGCTGTACTACTGTACAAATTTCTATACTGAGACTCAATCAGACACCGAAGGAAAAAAGAAAACTGAAGAAACAGAAGGATAAGTTCAATGCAACAACCTTTCTTTAAACGATATTTTCCTAATGAAACTTAATTCTCAGCACCGTTTACAATCGCATGAATTTACGTTAAAGGTGTAAAACTTGCAAGTCCAATAGTGAAGTAAATAGAATAAATTCGAACACATTTGTAGCGCAGCGCAAAAAATATGCAAGCAGTTTTATCTCAGATTCAGAAAACTCTCATTTCTGTGATTCAATTCTAAATTTGGAGCAGGTTCACTTCATTTATATGTCAGCCAGAAATTTGTACATTTATCTATATAAGTTGAAGTTCACTGAAAAATTAATATTCTGCACTTTCTGAAAATGACTTCTAAGCTCACACATAAAGGCAGTGTATTTAAGTACCATTTTGGAAATTACAATTCCTTATATGTCAGACATAATATGCATCTAGTCAGCTGAAGAAATGATACGAAGTAGCATTAATGTAATTGTGGAATTTTAGGTACTTTGGTAGAATGTAATTCTATGCTAAAAAGTAGAATTGACATGATTATGAGGGATAAATTGTGCTCGAAACATCATCCAGTAATTGGTACTGCATCACTAAGTGTTCCACTGGATAAACTTATCTAACGTAAAATGATACGAGGAACAAGTATTTAACAATGTTGCATTATCCAAACATCGATTTCCAACTCCCTGATGAAGCTTTGGTGAGAACTCGTGACCCGTTGGGTACACCAGGCATAGGTGATGGGGATTTTCATTGAAAGTATTGATTGGGATAGTGATATATCGCTAATGAATTCCTGCCCAAGTGTCTGAATAGGTCAACGAACTCGGTCTCATAAGCTGAACGACTCAGGTTCCTCTACCATCCGAAAATTCACTCAAAGGTTGAATGTGAATTTGAAGCAAAAATATTTCAATTTTGACAAATAAACAAAGTGCAGAAATACCGAGTAGATTGATTTCGAAACACATACTCACATTGCATAATACATTTGCATCAGGACATCTTATATTCACTTCATAATTTTTACCGTCCAAATCAAATTTAGCAGTTTTGTCTCTTTCACCTCTGGCGCATGTAACAGTTTGTCCACTGAAGTCGATATCAATATCGCCACCGCTTTTGCACGTGTACTAAAAGATTAAAAAACGAATTGCATGGAGGATTTCATCATGAGGTGACATCAGATAGAGGACCACTGGAAAACCTGGATCTACTGGATGGCTGTTTCGTGCCAGTTTGAGACTCTTCACAGTACACACCCGCCTCCAGAGTTCAAACCCAGGACCTTCTGGTTGCAAGGCCAGCCAGCTCGTAAACCATTGAGCCACTGGGATCCGATTCAGTGATCGTTGAATTCTAACTAATGCCGAATCATGACATAGCGCAACCATTTCTCAACGTCTTCTTCGATGAGTTACTGCCTCATCTTCAGCCTGCTGTACCCTACTGTACCCTACAAAACCAATACTTGAAGAATAATTGAACTGTTTTTTTATTAATAAGGGCAACTGACTCACAAATAAAGTAACTCATTGAATAGTTAATTCCTAAAGTTTTATTGTGTTGAATAATTCCGAGGAAAATGACTTAGATTTTCTCTTAATGTTAATGGAGTATTACTGATAAGTCATGTAGAAATTTAATAATTTCACTGTTGGCATTTAGACAACAAACATTTTGTATTGTTGTTGTCGAAATTTACAGTCTCCGGATCTCAAAACAAACACACATCTCACCGACAGGTACAAATCGACCGCAATCGTCTAACATCAATGTAAAGCGGTGGCACTGTGGTGGCGAGTCCTCTGACTTTAATGAATGATTATATTAGGAGCTTGACTGATGAAATCTAGTCGCCAACAACACCACCACCACAGACGAGACATATAACACTGCTTTCTCCTTCTTGATTCAATGTTGCAGTTGCACTGTACCACTGTACATTGGATATGATAGAATGATGATATCCAGTTGAAGAAATGGTGAAATAAACCTTTCCAAGCCATTTAACACACTTCAGGTGTTTCAGATTTTATGTAAAGGGATTCGGTTAAATCGAATGGGAATTCAAAAACCAAATCAAGTGGAAAGAAAAATGGAGCTGATTAAAGTAGTGAAGTGGCTATGCAGCTCAGTTGGGTGTATTCACCATCGTTGTATTCCTTCCATGAGCTAGATGATTAAAGTTGTGAACCGTTCATTGCCCTTCTGGATGACATCTGCAGCAGTAACTTTAAACTAAATGAGAATGAAAGTCAACAGTATTTATTCAATATCAAATTATATCACATTGTTTTCATGTGTCTAAGTAATAACACCTGCAGTACTGACTGACATTGCTGCACACTTCTGTTGTTCTAGACTAGAAGTATGTTTGAAAGGCAACATACAGTGTGATAGTGAAAGTGGAATTTCTGAACTCATGGTTAACTGAGGTTTCAAATTTAGGAAATCTTATTTTTGAATTCCAGAAGTTGAAATATAGGTACTTCTGCTACCCAAATTGTATCAGTATATCTAAAACCAGCATTTCTAATTATTTCTACCAATACGGGTGATTTTTTCACATAGAATAATAATATGAAGCGTTACTGCTGCAAACAAATACATAAACTTACTCTGTGACAACTGGCCTGTATTGATTTGTCGAAAGTCCGCATCGAATGGCCTTGTTGATATTTCCAAGGTCCAGTATGTTGCAGACAAAATGCTTTTCCAAATGATTGCAAGAAGTCGTTGTATTCCTTGACTATTAGAAATAATATAGGCATAATACAAGTTAGGTAGTAAAATTTATGAAATAAACGTTAAATGTAATTAATTTCCAATGGTAATTACCATTGGAATGTTTCGTACAATATGATGTTCATCACTTGAATTCACCTGAATTCCAGTAAGAGTCAGGCCTATCGCTGAGACTGGGGGTCAAATACCATCTATGCAATGAGTATCCAAACGTACAGGATGAATGATTTCGATTCATTGCAACTTGAGGAAATATGGCTAAAATGATTGTAGACTTTCAAGGAAATCATATGAATAAGTATTCTACACAAACAGTATGAAAGTATTTGTGTTTTTCACTTTTTAAAGAGAAGGATTTGACTTAAAAGGGTTTTCCTTCGGTCTACTGTTTTCTGAAAAGTGCCAGTTATTAAACTTCAGAGAATACAACCGTAGGTAAAGTAATTCACGCAACTTTATGCCATTCTAAAGCTGACAGATTCAGGGTTTTGATCAATCGGTCACGGATTGATACCGGTTAGAGAACCATTGAAAGCAGGGAGTACTGGACAGCTGTTTATCCTAATTCGGGACTCATCGGCAGTACGCATCAGACGCCAGGGTTCGAACCCATGACCTTCCGGTTACAATGCAAGCTCGTATATCATTCAGCCACTGGGACCCGTTTACTGCCTAGCTCATGAATTCTAACTTCTACCAATTCGTGGGTTAGTGCGACCTCAACCAATGTCGTCGGGGAAATACATCTCAAACTTGACTGGATGGACCTCACTGATCACGACTTCTCACTAAACTCCAGGAAAATCAGTCCTTCAGCAAGTCCCTAGCGAGAATTCAGAGTTGTTGTAAAACTTGTGGAAATCAGCTTTACACTTATCGGTAGAAATTTATCTACCACTGGTACTACCTATTTTAACGCCGATTTTGGAACTTCTTCCGAGGTGAAAGTCACACTCTTACACATTTTTGTAATCTTCATTTGATCAGTTATCAGCAAATCCCGTTTCCTATCTCTTAGCCTCTTCTTTAAAACAACATTTCCAATGAAGCTTAAAGATATTTAGGAGTTAATTGAAGGATGGTGACTAGCAGTGGAATCCAGGATATGGATTTCGTCCTATTCAGGACTCGTCTCTAAATGTACCTGCATTCCTCAGTGAGTCAGTGATGGTGTTCCCACTGAGGCTCGAACCCTGTGCCCATGGTTTTGAACGCCAAAGTTTTATCCACTAGACCACTTGAGCTTCGAGAGCCACCTCTTGTGCAACGGGTCATATTAATTATTCAATTCAATTTAAGATTTTCCCGTCGATTGATTGCACAGAAGTCCTTGGACTCAGGTTGACATGTCGGCCTCTTGTGCAGATGCTTCGACATTATCTGGGATGTAATCAGATGTCGATTGGTGCATCCGGACGACGAGTCCCGAATAAGACGAAATGCGCATCCCGGATGCCACTGAAAGTCACCATCCTCCAATTCACTTCTAATTACACGCCCAGACATCATCGAAGCATCTGCACAAGAAGCCAACAGACATGTCAACCTGAGACCGAGCACTTCGGTCCAATCAATCGACAGGAAAATGTAAAATTGAATTAAATAATTAAAGATATTTACTCTACAGTCATAGAGTATAATGGCGACAACAGACCCGCCTAAATCATTGAGCCACTAAATTTCCTATTCATCTAAATCCATCCAATTTAATCTATTTCATATTGCTTTTGTCATCTCAACACGTTCATGAATGGCAATCTATACTGCTTCTATGTATCTTTGGAAGGAAATTGAGGATGGGATAATGTGGCTTTGGGAGATGATACACTACTTGAAGATTCTGCACAGGGAGTAAAAGCTGTGCGATGAAATATACAGAAAATGCTGTATTGTTTATGAATACATTTTCCAGAATGAAACTATTATTGTCAATATGATGATCACCATCAATTTTGGATTTACTTTAGAAAAGTATATATATATACATATGTAACTGCTTCCGTTATTATTTCATTAAACTTATTCACACCTAATTTTCTTTATGAAATACATTTATCACTTAACATTAGTTTCTTCTTCAGCTTCAAAATGCCAATAAGTAAAAGACATTATTGATGGAAGAATCTGAAGAATAAGTGCTCACCAATTTTAGCATTATTTTCTTCGTGTCTACAATATGACGTGATGTCTAGTCTTCCAAACGAAGTTACGAACTGGAAGAAAATATTGCAGTTAGAAATGTTCAAAGTATGATAAATACATCCTAAATGTAAGCCAAAAATTAAATAGTTTTTCTCTGTGTGTGTGTGCATGTTTCATTACAAAAAATGACATTTGACTGGTTTTAAATTCAAAGACAAGCTGGAGGAGATGTAATTGGGACACAGACATACTCTTCTACATTCGTAGTAAGCAGTGGATCTCTAGAAATGAAGCTTTTCACTGGCAAGTAAGCGATGGAAACCTATCTGAGCGTTGTGCCGTTCAGTAGCATGTCTCAGATCTGTAAGTGATTCGGGGATCTGCTGAAGTACTTAACTGATTACACGCTGATGCACTGTATATCAGTGCGTAATATTCAACGTAACTGACAATTAGTTAGAAGACAAACTTCGTTCTCTGCATTTTTGATTTTCTGAATCTGCATGTATCAGCTATTTACTATTATAAATGTGAATTTTATGAAGTTATTCTACGCATTTCGATGTACAATCTTCACTGACATGAATTACAGTATACAAGAGAAGGTTAATATAAAATGTCCGTATTATCAAAATTAATTTCGATATTCAAGTATTGGTTTGTAGCGATTTGGTTGATTGGTTACAGGATTTCATCATGAGCTGACATTGGTTGGAGAACCGTTGGAAAACCCACCAGGGAGTATTCGACAGCTCTTTCGTCCCAGTTTGGCACTCATTGGCAGTATGCACCCGCCGGGCTTAGAACCCACGACCTTCTCGACTTAGTGACCAGCCCATGAATTCTAACTTCTACGAATTCGTGATTTCAGCGCGACCATTCAGCTCTTCTGATATATATGACATTCGAGTAGAACTCAGAAAGCTTGCTTCTTTATTAGCCAAAAGGGTTTGCTAATGTTATTTTGACAAATTTAATATGTATATGTATATATATATATATATATCTACTGAACTCAATATCAGCTGAAGTAGGCCGAGAGAACCGAAAAGAATTTCAGTTATCTATTTTTAGAAAGTAAATCTCGTAATAAATAGAACATAAAACATTTTCCTGGGAGAGAAGTCACAATTATATAGTCAGAAATTATAATAGATATAGTATAAATATTGTGCTTTTGCTGTATTATTTCAAAATATTTCACATACCCCCAATGTTGGACATTTATCTTTAAACGGATCATTTCCTCCCAGTCGGGCATAATTCGCACCTGCTTCAGGACCGAAAAATTGATCTGCAGGTGGTAGAGGTAGTGGGAACTCTGTCACACCACAAAGACCATATGTATATAGATCCCTGCATGTAACGGTATTTGGTTTATCACAGTAGGGTTTAATACTTTCTCCTCTGTAATATAAAGAATAATAATTACAAACAAAATGAAAAAAACAATTACACTGCTTCCTTTTAATTCATTGATTTATCATAAATGTTTATCATGAGTCACTGATTATGATTGGAGCGCTGAACAAATCGGGTGAAAGAAACATTGTCACAAATCAGTAGAAACATTTGGAAGAAGCAGAAAGCAAGAAGTAGAAGAAGAAAAATTGATTGGAAAGCATCGAGTGACAACAGTCACTTTCGTTGGTTCTTCTCAGCTGGACACATACTGAAAAAAGAAATCTTGACATTATTTTTCAAAGTATTTGTGTGTCTATCTGGAAGATGGTAAACACTAATATGACGCATAATTCACAAGATACATCCTTTGGTGTAGTTTCGTATCGTTTCGTCCATCACATTTCTGTCGTCGTATGTCTAAATTTCCATGCTACACCTGATCCGATAATTTCAGTTTGTCACTGGTTGGCTAAGTGTTTTACATTTACGCAATAGAAGATTTTCTCACATTTTATGGTGTAAAATATATGCTCAACCTGTTCGTTCGAAGTGTGATAATATTTGAAGTAATCTTGTTTAACTAACATGTATTCAACAAAATAATGAATGTTTGTCCCTACTGTTTTCATGATGAACAGCATTACCGCACGTAAGCATAAGCAACTGTTTGCCTGAGACGAGTAGTTATTTACCACTTAAATCGAACGGTGGTGTTTGCTAGCCATTTCGTTGTTTTCAGGTTGAGCCTATCAGCGGTGTACAAGTATGAGTCAGCCAAAAGAGTCGAATCAGTTCAGATCACCCGAGTTTTGGATTACTACTTTGACGAACCTGATAGGAACCAGGTATATCATCCATTCTGACGAATCGTGTGATTTATCTTGTGATGAAGTTACTGTGTTGATCTCATTTCTCACGCATATTGTGATTTATTGTGTGATCAATTCGTCACCCTTTGTCTCACCTGATCATTGTCGGGTCGCCGCTAACCAATGAGAATAGCTATTAACAGCCAATAATAACAATCCATTCTCACGGCTGTGGGTAAATAAAACGTTGAAATATGACATTTTGTTCCTAAAATATACATTATCTTACAGTCACAGACCAATCTTGTCATTTGATATTTGTCTGATTCAGTAAATTGGAAGGTACAACGAACAAACAAGCGTATTAGCGTACCAGTCGAGTTTATTACCATTCATCACAATTAGCGGCGCAGATATAGCAAAGTAGTGACGCGTTTAATCAGTTCAGTGGAGTTATAAAAGAACTATTAATCAAATTCGCAATTCGCAAATGTTAATTCATAGTTTACACAATTCCAGGTAAATGTGATCACAGTTTTCTCTGGAAATTGAGTTGATTAAGACTACAATATGTGATCTGCTTGACACTGCAAGTGGTTACCAGAAAGCCAAGCATAATTGCATAAAAGTGTGTACTACAGATTGATTGACATGCTTAGTTATATACCATTCACACTAAACAGGGAAGCTTACTAGCCAGATCAAAGGGATGTAAACACTGGATGGCCTCAAAACAGCCTGGCGACAGTCGGATTTATAGAGGAAACTATTCTAAAATTTCATCTCGAACTATATAAGCTGCATGCATTAATTACCATTCATCTCAAACTGCTTTTTACGAAAATTTCAGATTACTTAATAGTCTAATCAAAATAAGACCCAGCTCATAGCAAATGAGTAGGCGTACTAAAATGTTACGTCAATGTCTAGGTCACTAATATTGGCCGTGATAAAATATGAACAAAGCTGATTCAACAACCAATCACAGCAGACTTCATGTGGGCAAGTAAGATTTGCAGATATATGGCTTAACTTTCCGAGAAACCAGTCACCTTGAGCAAGAAACAACCAATCAGAAGACTGTGTTTGTCTGCTTGAATAAGCTATAATTATGTGCATGAAATATGTATAAATACGTGCTGATTTCCGTAATAAAACCAACTATTGCCGACCCTTGTCTTCTGTTGTTACAAGCGTAATGAAAACTTACGTCGCCAATTTAATATATATATCAAATTCAAGTCGATACTTCACAAAATTTAATCGGAAATGATTGCGAGATCGTCAGATACTAGCTTGCTAGGCTACTAGCTTACTAGTTTTCTCGCCGGTCCCAAGCCCGGGTAAAGAGGGAGGGTTGGGGCGTGGTGCTAGCAACTCCACCCCCGTAAAACAACCAAATCGCTACAGAAACTTCAACGAATAAATATATTAAAAATTCTAAAAACATAAGCAATAGCCTTACTTTTCGCTGGAATCGGGGAAGTGAAATGACGCAGGCTGGTGAAAGCCTTCGGGAAGCCAGTCAGCCGATGTGCCTTCTTTCGATGAAAGCAAAAGTAAGGATGGGTACCTGGAATGTTCGTACAATGTACGAAACTGGAAAGGCTGCCCAGATAGCCGCTGAAATGAGAAGGTACAGAATAGAAGTGTTGGGAATCTGCGAGAGCAGATGGAACGGAACTGGAAGGTGCCAACTACCTACTGGAGAGACAGTAATCTATTCCGGCCACCTAGAGGACAACCATGAGCACACCGAGGGAGTGGCCATCATGATGTCACCAACAGCAGCCAAAGCTCTCATGCAGTGGGAACCAATCTCCTCCAGGATAATGACAGCCAGGTTCAACTCAAAAGGAAGGAAAGTTACAGTCATTCAATGCCATGCGCCTACAAACGTCTCAGAACAAGAGAAGAAGGAGGCGTTCTACAGACAACTACAAGCAATAATGGACAACGTCCCAAATGGCGATATCAAAATCCTGATGGGCGACATGAATGCGAAGCTGGGAGGAGACAACACAGGAAGAGAACTCACCATGGGTCGTGAGGCCCTCGGTGAAATGAACGACAATGGTGAACTCTTCTCAGACTTCTGCGCCTTCAATGATTTGGTGATTGGCGGTAGTGTGTTCAAACACAAGGATATACACAAGACGACATGGATTTCACCAGATGGAAACACCAAGAACCAAATAGACTTCATCTCAATTTCAAGAAAGTGGAGACGGAGCCTACTGGACACAAGGTCAAGGAGAGGAGCAGATGTGGGTTCAGACCACTATCTAGTAGAAGGGACTTTCAAGGTGAAACTAAAAGCCTCGAGGATAGCTGGGGATAGGCCACAATGCAAGTTCAACACTCAGAAACTGAAGGACACAACCACAAAAGACACTTCACTGCAACTGTCAGAGCAAAGCAGGAAACACTACGCGACATCACTGAAGAATCATGCGTGGAAGAACATTGGAAGTCTCTGAAGGCGATTCTCAACGAAACGTGTTCAACGGTTCTAGGAAGAAAGAAGAGACAAGACAAGGAATGGCTCTCAACGGACACTTGGAAATTAATAGAAGAGAGGAGAATGGTGAAAGAGAAAATGATTCAATGCAAGGACGGACAGGAGAAGGAGACGATGAGCTCAACTTACAAAGCACTGGACAAAGAAGTGAAGAAGAGTGCTAGGAAGGACAAAAGACGATTCTACGACAACCTGCCACTGAAGCTGAGAAGGCAGCAGGCAAAAGGGACCTGAGGACACTATATCAGATAACCAAATCTCTATCCGGGAAGAGATCAACACAAGCGAAACCTATAAAAGACAGCCAAGGGAACCCAATTACCAAGGAAGAAAAACAGATTAAACAATGGGCGGATCACTTCAAAGGACTCTTGAACCGACCATCACCTGCAACCCGTCCAGAAATACCAACAACAGCGCGCACACAACTGCAAGTTGACACCAATCCTCCAACGAGAGCTGAAGTCTTGAACACAATCAAGCTTCTGAAAGCTGGAAAAGCAGCCGGACCAGATGGAATACCCCCTGAAGCACTGAAAGCAGACCCAGAGACGACAGCAGACATGCTGACTCCATTATTGCAAAAGGTCTGGAAGGAGGGAAAGGTGCCTACTGACTGGAGGAAAGGTTACCTCGTGAAACTACCAAAGAAGGGCGACTTAGGACTCTGCAAGAACTGGCGAGGAATCATGCTTCTATCGACGCCAAGTAAAATCCTGAGTCGCATCATCCTGGAGAGATTAAAGGACGCACTGGAGACAGAACTCCGACCAGAACAAGCTGGATTCAGGAAAGGCAAATCATGTACTGACCAAATTGCAACTCTACGCATCATCATCACAGAACAAAGCATGGAATGGCAATCAAACCTCTACCTCAACTTTATAGACTTTGAGAAGGCCTTCGACAGCGTTGACCGTGAAGTAATTTGGAAATTACTCGAGTACTATGGCGTACCCCAAATATTCATCAACCTTATTCAACAGCTGTACGACAACGGCACATGTCAAGTGATCCACAACGGAAAACTCAGCGAGGCGTTTGGAGTAAACACAGGAGTCAGACAAGGGTGCTTATTTCATCACCAATGATATTCCTAATTGTGGTGGACTGGATTATGCGTCAGACAGTGGGAAACGAGAAGACAGGAATATCCTGGACCGACGACGTGAAGAACCTAGAAGACCTGGATTTCGCGCGTGGATGATTTATGTTTGATGTCACACACAATCGAAGACTTACAAGCGAAAACCGACAAACTGGTCGAAGAAGCAGCCGGCGAAGACAGGACTCCAGGTAAACATAGACAAGACGGAGGTTATGAAAATAACCAACCAACAACAGAAACAGCATCCAACGTCAATCACCATCAACGGGAGGGATTTGAAAGAGGTTACTTCATTCACACACTTATCTAGGGAGCATTGTCTCAACTACAGGAGCAGCGGACGAAGATGTCAAATTGATAATCGGAAAGGTGAGAAACACATTCATCAACCTGAAATCAATCTGGAAATCTTCGTCACTCAGCCAGCATCAAAACAAAATTCAGTCGGATTTTCATTACAAACGTCAAGTCAGTCAGTTCTTCTATACGGATGAGAAACTTGGCGGTGGGTCACAAAGAATATTTCCAACAGCCTGTTGCAAACCTTTATCAACAACTGTCTTCG